TTCTCGATGGATTTAATTACGGGTATCCATGATTTTTAAGAAAGCTTTAAATAAATTTTCCTTGAACTAGTGGTCTTCTTTTTTCTGGGCGAAACATTTGTTGACATGCTCGTAAAATCTCAGCGAGATTGAAATGAGTAATTCCAACGTCTCGTTCAGCAATCTGGTCCGAACTTCTTCAGGAAAATTATCGAAATTAACATAACAGAGGTTTACATATAAAAGGAACATTTCTTGTTTTTAAAACTTTGTCCGATCATGATTCATAAAACAAGTATCAACAAGTATAATAAACAAAATTGTATGAGCTGTCATCAAAATTTGATCTCGGACTTGGTCTACCTTTGTTAAACACTTTAAGCAGAGGGTGCATGCATGTGTGGGTAAACAGTTGTAAAGCATTTCTTAACGTCTCCATCTTAACGTCTCTCGGATTAATATCGCGCGTTTGACTGTTATAACCCCATGGATATAGTTTTTTCCTCATGGTACATTACAACATCTAGAAATTATAAGGACACTATCTGCGGTAAATTTCTTTTTTCTTTTTAAGTGACTTCGAATAGTGAGTCATTTAAGGTGATAGGATAGACACCTCTAAACACTTTCGCAGAGATGAAGATATGTTTACTTTTTCGACTAGGAGACGGTCTTTTTACCGAGAAAGTTCTCAGGATGTTCACTTTTACTTTGTAATTCAAAGATAACGTTAAGTTGCTCACTAAGCTACTAGCTACAGGAGATTACCTTCAGTGGAAACTATTTTAGGGTAGCTATGTAGCTTTAGGTAATGCGTCATGGGAGTAAGTAGGGTATGTTGACTGTGCCTAAATACATCAAAAGTTGTATAACTAGTCAAATCGTAGTTCTTACATAATAGTTAGTCTTGTAAATAATGAATGTACCGTACAAGCGTTTACTTTTATTTGCATACCTAACTCATAAACAATATACCTGCATGATGTATACAGTGTACTGCTTTTTTCCTGAGAAATAAGAATGCAGCGATTGGACAACTCAACGGTCAATTTGAATTTCAACAAGCTTGTTCAACGGAATATTCCTAGGTACTGGGTCGAAAGCAGATGTATAATATAGGAAGGTGCAGCGAACAAATTTAGCCCCCTTGTGTAAAGTGGAGACAATGTTATGATGCAAGACTGCAGCTGCATCTAAAGTAGTTCAACTGTTTTTATATGCGGTTTATTTGGGATCGATAAAGGCTTTAAGTGAAGGTTGAAGATTAGGTAAGAGTAACTTTTCCATAGTTTTTAGAAAAGGAGAGATAATAGCATTAGGTCTAAATTTAAAACACGTACCAGTAGATGACTAAGGTGTAGGTACAATTTTAATGCCCTTCCAAACGGCTGACACACAACACACGAAATGAATAGTGAATACTTTTGTAATACTGGTTATAATTAGATGCATAAAGGCGCGACTTATTTCATATCCATAAGGTAGATATGCGAATACTGTAGTTGTTGGTCATAAAAATGATGGATATTAGATAATATCAAATGATTCAACGGCATATGGGAGAAAAATTTAAAAAATTTTCGCAGGTCATTGTCAGACAAACAGTGCATCGAACAGTAGAATTATTATTCAGCTTGCTAAATCCTACTTTATTTTTACAGTGTGCCTAGGATTATGTCAGGTAAATTGTTGTAACTTGTGTAAAGTGTGCTTACTTTCATTATTCCATTACCTTTCCTGTACCTGTATATATATATATATATATATATCCTGTGTCAGTAAAAATTGTAAACATGCTTACGCCATGTATACATTATTATCATATTGATGATGCCTGTTAACTGGAGTCCCTCATGTGCACAAAGTGAGAATACATTATTGTATGATGCATTTTATTGTACTATGAGGAAAACGACTTCAAGCTTTATTTTTTCCTAAGTATCCGTAATTCATCTAACACATACTTGTGTGTTTTTGTTAATGCGAAGTCAATATCTCTATATTTCATGATGTGGTTCACTGAATCACTAGTTATCAAATTTTTACCACAAACTACAGACAAAAAGATAGCAACTATGTAATTTAGCCACAAACCAAATATAGGTGTATAAAGGTATATCCATGAGATTCTGGAAGGGGACCAACCGAATCTATGTGAACGTGTTAGAAACGAGCATCAAGGATAAGAAAGGTGTCAAGAGGGATTTCGGCATGTCTTACTACCTTGCACGTTCGGCAAGCTTAGCACGTGTGTACCCATTCCCTTACTTCTTTATTAATACCAGGCCAACAAAGCCGACTAGTTGCGAGCTCAACGGTAGTTCGAATACCTGGGTGGGATAAGCCATCCAACGTATTGAAGACGTTACAGTGATAGCCTTTAGGTCACGATGGGGCGATGAGTACTCGTAGAAACGTCGCATAGAATAGTATACCTTCCCATACCTAAGGGTTTCTCGGCTGATTGCAGAGTTGTGTTCGACAACTCGGTGTCTTCTTTTTGAAGACGAGCCAGTTTCATAAGGTCTATGTCATCTACTTGAGTGAGGGAACAAATGCGCGACGAGGCATCTGCCACAGTGTTGTTCACTCCGGATATATGACGAATGTCCAATGTAAACTGTGAAACATAGTCCAGTTGTCGTGATTTTCTAGATGAATACTTATCTGAAGTTGGGTTCAGAGAGTACGTCAGAGGTTTGTAGTCAGGGAAAATTATAAACTCACGACCATCCACTGAATGTCAAAAATGACGTATAGCACAGTACGTAGCCAGAAGTCCTCTGCCGAATGTGCTGTACTTCGTTTCAGCTAATTGTAGGAGCCTCTCGAAAAAGGCGAGTGGTTACCACTCTATGTTCACTAGTTGTTACCGAACTGCGCCAATTGCAGTGTCTGATGCACCGACCGGGATACCTAACGTGGCCGTTGGATCCTGAAATATAAGAAGTGTGGTATCCACAATGGCTTTCTAACTTGAGTGAAAGCATTTTGAGCAGCCGCGTGGAGTTCGATGGACCTATCACTCCCTCGAAGGTCTCTTAATCGCTGAATGAGAGAAGCACGGTTGAGAATAAGCTGTCGGTAATAACTTACCAAGCCGTTGAAAGTGCGGAGACTTTTCACTGTCTGTGGCTCTAGAAAGTTCGGCATCGCCTCAGCTTTACTAGCCAGTGGACGAATGACCTTGCAGTCAATAGTGTGGCCCAGAAAGTGGAGTGAGTCAACACCTATCTGAAACTTTCGGATATTGATGGTAACACCATGTCGGCGTAACATTTCGAATGCCAAGTCCAAGTGTCTAAGGTGAGTTTCCTTATTTGGACTGGCAATGAGACAATCGTATACAAAGTCGAGACCGATGAAGCGTTGGAGTGTTTGGGCTGCATTCCGTAGGCCAAATGGCATACGTAGAAGTTCAAAAAGTCGGAAAGGCGTAATGATAGCCGTTTTCGGGAAAGCTTCTGTTGCCATCGGGTTTCGGTTATACGCTTTAACCAAGTCTATTTTCGAAAATATAGTTGCGCCAGAAAATGTTTCCGTCAAGTCGTGCATGTGAGGAAAGGGATAGCAATCGGGGGTTGTTTTGGCGTTCGATCGCCTGTTTTCACCAGTGGGTCACCAATCGTTGCTATCCTTTTTCAGTACCATATGCAGTAGGGATGCCCATGGGCTATTCAATGGCCGAATGATGCCAAGGGTGACCATATGGTCGAACTCATTTCTAGCTAGTCGTAGTTTGTCAGGAGCAAGTCGTCCAGCTTTAGATTTGACGGGTTGTCCTGAGGTTATCATGCGATGCATAACATTGATGGTTATGCACGGTAGATCGTCAGACGAGCAATTATGTTCCGGGTATTTATCAACAATCGGTTGGAAAGTTAGATCGAGGATTGCTTCCATCTTCACGAGTGACAAGCTGGGACCTACGTAGGTGATGCCTTTGATAGACAGTCTAGTTGTACTGTCTGTCAGTCGTTTTCGGCGGACGTCTACGAGTAAATCATGATGATTAAGTAAGTTGCATTGCTGTTGCATTAAGGCAAACGAAACATGTAGTTCAGCGAAGAGTCTCTTTTCGGCGGCGAATTCATTTTCTTAGCTGTACAATCGCAAATATATATAGGATATTTTGTATGTATGTGAACATTAAGTTTGCCAAACAAAAATACAATTGGTTATGGTTATTTCAAATAACAGGTGAGAATTAGTAGGGTTTGGGTGGAGTTATGTGGTACAAAAACGGTCAAGAAAATTGGGTGTTAATGAAACTAGGGTAGTAACAAAAGTGGTGAGTTGTTACGAACAGTTGCTAAAAAAGGAGTTATGCAATGATATGAATAGTTTGATGATTGAGTTGTACTCAGGATGCACATAGAAATGAAGTAGGGGGCGCGAAATTACGTAGAAGTTCTAAATGAATACAAGAATTATAAGCAATTAACGAAATGGGTAATCAAACAAAATTAAGTCATCAACAAAGTTTGTTGCCAAGATAGTAGAAGTGTTTGAGTAATTCTCTTTTCTATGTACAACTCTTGTTTCGCTAGGTGAATGGGTCAGAGCTTCAGAGATACAAAGAAGACCAAAACCGTATTGCCTTTGATAAGTTATTCTCGACTCTATAGATTAATCACTTTGAAGCAGGAGGCGTTTGTTTAGATGAAATGATCAATGTTAACTAGGTGTACAATTATCACACTCCTTATGGCACCACTACTGCCTTTTTGCAACCATGCTGGATAGTGTTCTTGAATTCTCTTCGGCAGGATACGCGTTCGAACGACTGATGATATACCTGGCTTCACAGCATCAGGTTTCATACAAAATGTTTACACTTTATAAGGTTAAAGGCTTTCAGTTTTTTCTGAACACCCTAGTTTGAAATATGAGTAATGGTTCTCAAGTATGCGTCGGCGGCACAGTGGTTGGGACTCTCGCCGACCATCCACATGGTCCGAGGTTCCATCCCCTGCCGATGCACACCTGATATCTATGGTCGGCCTGCGAAATTTCCGCTACCGATATCCATGCTGAAAATTCCAAACTTGAACCAAAAATACATTGTGGAATCAAAAATAAAAAAATATTATGTGTACTGACTGTGCATGTCTTGCTTTTTTCAAAACTCCAAAACACCAGCACTTTAAGAAAGTTGTATTGTTTGGCAATTAAAGTCTGGATAAGTACAATTCTCTAAACAAATGTTTTATACAAAATATAATGTATCTTTATTCGTATTCTTTTGTGTTGATTGACAATTTCTATCTCTGGATTGTTTAAATACTTACTGTTGACTGTTGATATGTTTCTTATATGAATTGCAGAATAATTCCGCTAAATACAAATTCCTGAATTCCGCCCTCTCTGTGTTTTGTTTGGATTCTTGTAATTCGGTCATCTTGAAATACTAATATTACGATTACAATAAATTACTACAAATTGGCGTCGCGATGGAACTAAATAACCTGGGAAAATTTCCTATTAATGGGTCTCCGCGGGAGATTGCTGATTATTTGGAATGCTTCGATGCGTGGTGCATTTCCAAGAATGTTCGGGATGACAAAATACCAGCACATTTCATCACTACTATTGGGCTAAATGCGTATAGCCTAGTGAAGACTCTGTCGTTTCCAGATAAGCCCATTTCTCTGTCATATGACAAGATCCGTGAACTTCTGATACATCACTTTCATGTAACTACATTTGAGACCAGAGAGAGGGCTCAGTTCAACAAACTGGTACGTTCTCCCAACCAGAAGATTCGAGAGTTCATTCTTCAACTTCAAATTCAAGCTTCAAAGTGTAACTTTGGAGATCAGTTGCGTTCACAACTACGTGATCGTCTAATTGCTGGAATCAATATTCCGAAGTTAGAGAAAGAGTTAATTCAGATTCCTTCTTGTACCTTTCAAACTGCTAAAGATTTATGTATTATATATGAAGATGTCAATAGTGAATACTCTGCTCCCACTACGTCAGTATCTGATGTCATGCTTTCTAAAGTCGAAAATACAAGTGGTAATGGAAAGCAATCCAAATTGTCGTCCACAGGTAATAGAATGCAGCCAGAGATCAAAAACATTAAACCGTGTTTATCCTGTGGAAAGTTACATCTACGAAGCACTTGCCGTTTTCGGGGTGCTAAGTGCCATAAATGTGGTGAAGTTGGACACATCAAGACTGTTTGCAGAAGTTCGAATACTTATGTTGCTCAACATTCTTATAATTCTCCCAAGCTGTCTAGTAAAATGGAGTCAATGTGTCTTTCAACCTTTCAAAATACACAAGCTAATCCAATGAAAACCTCCACTACAAGTTCAGCAACTCAAGCATCAACTGTTTTCAAAAATGAGGTAGCCGAGTTGCAATGCGAACTGTCGAAAACACGAAAAAAACTGAATGAGATGAGAGAGCAACTGATTAAAATGGAGGAATTGGTGCATATGCATAGACTACGTCTGTTGAATGCAGAGCATACAAGTACCCGTGAAAGTCCTGCAAAACTTTTCAAATCTCGAATTCTCAAAAAGCATCTGATGTCCACGACTTCTAATGTACATTATTACAAAGGGAATGACTATAGACCTTCTGTTGGAATTATACTACAAAAAATGGGAAATCGAGTGGTGAAGATATTAGACATCAAAGATCACTCAGTTCATAACAGACACCTGGACAAAGTGACAATAAATGAAGTAGGTCGTTCCAATTATAATATTAATGATTCCGCTAATAATCCTGATTTTGTAGATAATTCAGAAATAGGTCCAGATATTACTGATGAAAATAATATCACAGAATCAGTTAGGTCGCAGCTACTTTCAAGCAAACCGAGACATCGTTATAAGTACGCAAGGAGACATTCGACGTGTGGTGATTGACAATTTCTATCTCTGTATTGTTTAAATACTTACTGTTGACTGTTGATATGTTTCTTATAGGAATTGCATAATAATTCCGCTAAATACAAATTCCTGATTTCTGCCCTCTCTGTGTTTTGTTTGGATTCTTGTAATTCGGTCATCTTGAAATACTAATATTACGATTACAATAAATTACTATATCCTTCGTCTTCTTACAACTTGTACACGTCTCAACCATTCGCGCCTTCGAGTTGCCCGCCAATGGCTAACAAGGTCAATGAACCAACATTCAATGTTCATATTCCTTGACAGAGGGGTGAAACGTAATTACAGAATTCAAGATAAGTCAATTCTCAGGCGTTAGCGACAAATTATTACTTCGATACATTTGTAAAAGAGCAATGATCACTAAGAAGAATAGGATGATTCAGAAGAATTACGTAAAATACAAACAAGTTAATAGAATTAGCCAGAATTGTAAACATTGAAAAAGATAGTTACAAGGCTAGAGGAGAAAATCGCTTCTTAAAAGCTTGCAACATTGGTAGAAAGCAATTTACGTCAATGTTGGCGTCCCAAATCGGGGTCATGCAAAGAAACAAGAACAAAGCACAACCTTGAAGGGCTCAACAACCAATCACGCTGACTTTGTTTGTGTAGGCGGATACAATTCGCAGATAGATGATCTAACCCTCAAGAAACAGCCACAAAGAGATCAGAGAATAACTTTTACTAGGAAGCAACCAGCAATCAGAAGACTGTGTTTGTCTACTAACAATAATCTATAATAATGTACATGAAAATCTATAAATATGTGTTAATTTCCTTAATAGACGATCTGTTGCCTGGCCGTTGTCATCTGTAATTACAGTAGTAGTAGTAGTAGTGTAAGAGCAGAAGGCAAGTGACGGAAGCCGAGGTATATTTTCAAGTGATCAAACAGCTATTTTTATTTATAGCTATACAGTTAATGTTCGTTAACCAATCAGTTACTGAGCGTGCCATTTCAGTTTACATTAAACGACATGAAATAGAATGTTCAAATATACACATAGTATTATTCTGTTGCTAATGCAGTGGGAATTGAACTGTGGGAATATTCGGGAATCATATTCCATCGGCACACATTGTGTGTGCGTAGTAGGAGTAGTAGTCTGATTGTTAGAACTGACAAACAAGCATCTCTGTCACCCACCCGTGACGACGCCATGATTTATGCATGTACTGACATGATAACCTGATTGATTGATTGATTGAACAGTTTTCATTCATTTATCTGTGAGACTTCGATGTCACACAACTAATCACATGCTTCATCATCTACTTATCGATGAAATTCATCAAATTTTGTAAATATAAACTGACACCACCTATTTTGTCTAGTGAAGGCTGTCGGTGTCACTCAGGTCGTCGTTCTTCCAGTCTGACTTTCGTATCTGTCTAACTCGATGTGGGCAAAACTTCACACTGACCGGTTGGTTGTAGCTTCCTGTTGTGGAGGCGCATTCTAGTCAAGTTGGACGAACCACCCACGAACCAGTAAGTATTATTACGACGTACGTAACACTGGGATTTATACTAGTTTACTACTTTATTCCATCTTTCTCCCACAGCTCCCACCACACTGAAAAATACCAGAACAACACTGAACAAAACTGACTGATCAACTCGCCCTCCAATTCCTCTTCTTCTTCTTCTCTCGGGCATACTCGATCAATCAATCAACCTCCAGTCAATGTAAAGACGAAAACAAAAGGGGAAGCAACAACAATATAGAAAAGACTAAAACGATGCGGCTTGTGTTGTAATGGGTCAAGGCAAAACACATCAACGGATCAAGGCATTCACTTCATTTTTGGGAACAGAAAATTAACAATAAAAAGTCTCAAATATTTTTTCAGAAAAAAATATACACATCATCTATGTTGTTTATTAACTTTGTTCAATCGGTTCAAATTCAGATGGAGTTTCAATGCACATGCATATATTCAAAACAAAATATTTAGAGGGAACAATTGTGGTTTCAATAGATTCTTCTTCTTTAGGCTCTACAATTATGAATCCCGCTGACATTCCTAAATGTCGACTTAATAGAGTAGTAGATAGGACATTTCCTGCAGCTAAACTCGTACTCAACTTCTCAACTAAACCAGTACTCACACAGCAAGTCAAGGATAAATTACCAAAGATGGCCTCATCAATGTGTATCTATGAATTCAACTGCTCATTTGGAGCTAGTTACATTGGCCTTACTCAGAGGGCTTTATCCATGCGCAAGCGTCAACATGTACCTGTATGGTTGAGTAAAGGGATAACCACCAAATGCGTAAATAGTGCAGTCTTAGCCCACATGGTAGATACTGGACACTCGATAGAACTTGACCAGTGTTCTCAGTTACTTACCGCGTTCCTAGTAATTTATCCAGAGAGGCTCGACTACGTCTTCTATCAGTAGCTGAAGCAGTTGCAATTGATACCAGAAGACCATCTTTTTGCACACAGAAGAAGTATGTTCAACCTCTGTGTTTACCTTGGCCTACAATAAAGCCAACAAATCCTCAAAAACATTAACACTATAACTTCCTTTCACAGTTTTCTTTTATTTTCTTCTTCTTCTATTTCTTTGTTTCATTGACAAACCTTCATTTTCGACTTTTATGATTTCATGACCTTTCTTATGACTTTATCACCTTAGGTTTAAGTAGTGCTTTTTCTAACTTGTTATCGTATTTACAAAATCCTGTTCATTCCACTTCATTATATTCACTATTATTATTTGACAATCATTCACCAATAGTAATTGTTATTTTACACCATATCATCGTTATTATTTTACAATCATTCTTAATGTCGTTATTTGAGAAGTTGAGTACGAGTTTAGCTGCAGGAAATGTCCTATCTACTACTCTATTAAGTCGACATTTAGGAATGTCAGCGGGATTCATAATTGTAGAGCCTAAAGAAGAAGAATCTATTGAAACCACAATTGTTCCCTCTAAATATTTTGTTTTGAATATATGCATGTGCATTGAAACTCCATCTGAATTTGAACCGATTGAACAAAGTTAATAAACAACATAGATGATGTGTTTATTTTTTTCTGAAAAAATATTTGAGACTTTTTACTGTTAATTTTCTGTTCCCAAAAATGAAGTGAATGCCTTGATCCGTTGATGTGTTTTGCCTTGACCCATTACAACACAAGCCGCATCGTTTTAGTCTTTTCTATATTGTTGTTGCTTCCCCTTTTGTTTTCGTCTTTACATTGACTGGAGGTTGATTGATTGATCGAGTATGCCCGAGAGAAGAAGAAGAAGAGGAATTGGAGGGCGAGTTGATCAGTCAGTTTTGTTCAGTGTTGTTCTGGTATTTTTCAGTGTGGTGGGAGCTGTGGGAGAAAGATGGAATAAAGTAGTAAACTAGTATAAATCCCAGTGTTACGTACGTCGTTCTTCGAAAACCTAGCTAATAGTAATTCTTTTCGCATTGTCTTCACCAGATTGACTCGTAGATTTTTGAGCGCTGTAAACATTAATATTATTGTTCCCTTGGGTTCCTAGTGGAACATAGGGCTTTGATTTCACGTCTCCACTTCCTTCAGTCTTCTGCTGTACTTTTCACCTGCATCCATGTTAGTCCATTCTGTTTCAACTCCTCTTCACACGATCTCCTCCATGTCACCCTTGGACGTCCCATTCACCACTTCCCTTCCGGCTTGGTTCCACTCGAGCGATGGCCTGACTCGCGCGCGATGTCACCCAACGGCCTCCTCAGCGAGTGTTCAATCCATCTCAATCCATTTTGTCCTGCATATTTGTTGGTTGGCGATTGGTTCTTGTTTTGTTTGTTATCACAGTTCCTTGTTGGTGATTCTTTCGGGCCCGTCCGGCCCGGCCATCTGATCTTCGGTATAGAGCCAGCGAAGACAGTTGTTGATAAAGGTCTGGTCTGAAACAGGTTGTTGGAAATATTCTTTGTGACCCGCCCGCCGGCTTTCTGATCCGTATAGAAGAAGTGACTGACTTGACGTTTGTATTGTAGATCCGAATTTTGTTGTTCAGACGTGCAAAACATTGTTTTTTTCCAGATTTGTACATATTAGTTTTATGAAAAAGAGAAGACGTTCAACGATGAGACTCTTTTCGACGAATTCATTCACATAACTGTACAATCGCATTTATATACAATTATTTGTATGTCTGTATACATGAGGTTTGTCAAGTTTAGATAATTGATCAGGCAATAAAAGAATGATCTAATATAGAAACAAGGTTAATCAGACAGCAACTAAAGTAAGATTGAGTTAGTAAGTTAGATGACGTAATATAATTGACTAAAATGTTTCGACTTAGGTCAGGGTAGCAACAGAGGTAATTACAGGTAGAGACTAAGTAGAAGTGTGATAGATAATAATGCCATTTAAATTAGAACTGAAATTGAGCAATTAAGTTGGATGACGTAATATAAATGACTAGAAATTGAGAGTTGATCAAGTCAGTAACAGTGGTAGTGAGGTGTAGAAATTAAATCGGGTGGGGGTAGAGAACAAGAAAGTTGAAAATGTAAAATATTACAATTGAGAAGACAAAATAGTACTAATGAAGAGACAGGAAAAAAGATTAGGTAGAATTTACTTGTCGGGTAATGAGATAGATTGAGTCCATTGCAAGTTTAGTGATTGGACAAACTTCTTCTGTATACAGAGTTCAGGGTTTAGCAAGTGAATCGCCATTGCTTCTGCAGTTTGAAGAAATCTGATTCGTACACCTTTTGGAAGACTACTTCTTACTCTGTAGACTACTTTGAAGTTTGTTTGGGGTGCAGCTTGGTGTCCGGATTCTATCAGATGTTCTAAGATGGAGCTGTGGGGACATCGTTTTTCTCCTTTGTAAAACCATGTTGGTAAGTGTTCTGTGATACGCTTGGAAAGCGAACGCTGGGAACGGCCAACATACCTGGTTCCACACGAGCAGGTTAATTGATAAATACACATTGATGAGGCCAACAGTCGTAGCTTATCCTTCACGTCCACATGAATCATAGGTTTTGTGGAGAAAGTTGGTCGTAGCTCAGCTGCGAAGAACTTCTTCTTAAATGAACGTGACAGTCAATTTTTCAGTGTTAGCGCAGATATATCTCCACTGAATTGAGGGTTCATGTAGAGCGGTTTCTTCGGGATGCTATGCATGGGCGGCTTTTGTGGCCTAGGATTCATAGATTTTGCAATAAATCGTTCTGGGCAACAATTCTCGACGAGGATTCTCTTGAGATTGTCCAGTTCATCTTATATGGTGTCCGGGGTACAAATTCTGTGGACTCTGTAGCTAAGTGAACGGATCAGGTTTCGTTTGGTGTATAGGGGTACCCAACCTCGCCTACATTACTAGCTGGTCCCAAGCCCGGATAAAGAGGGAGGGTTGGGGCGTGGTGCTAGCAACTCCACCCCCGTAAAACAGCCAAATCGCTACAGAAACTTCAATGAGCAAATATATTAAAAATTCTAAAAATATAAA